TATAAACATTGTGATCGAACTGTTGCAATGATTATTTGAAAATTACTAATTCAAAGAACTCGATAGTTTTTAAAGGTGAAGTGATCAGTGAGATACAGTTAAAATTTTAAAATTTGACCCTTTGGAGAAACTAGTTGGACATCTCTACTGTAAATTATTAAATGAGAAGATTAAGATTCTAAAAGGGCGAGTTCAATGGCAAGATAGTAGTTTAAAGTTTAAATCGCTGAACGCTCGCTGTTTCTCATTTCTCTTTCATAATGGATAAAATGAATAAAATCGAGAGATAGAGAGAAAGAGAGAGAGAGAAAGTTCCGATAAATAGAAATATATATATATTGTACAATTTAAAAAAATTAATTATATTTTATATATGGAAGTTCTCTACGTGGCGATCTGAAGAAGTTTCCCCAAAAATAACAGTTATTAAAAATAACAGTTTGATAAAATGTGTTAAAATTGTAAGAAAGGAGCCGACACATTAGTATAACTTCGAACGATTCTTTTTGAATAAATAGTGCACGAGTGACGAGTTACGACATACACAGATTTTTCCCTGGAGGTATCAGACTATTCAATTGATGCACATAAAAAGAAACATGTAAAAATGTTCTCCGGATTCAAGAGATTTTCGTGTGTACGTCAGGCCTCGCTAAAAGAGATCATGCAATAAAAACAATTAGAGACAACTATATTTATAAAAGACCGTAGCGTTTATATAGATATATTGGGTCTGTTTTCTTTTCAACTCCTTGCATCCTTTAAGTTTCTTCTTTTTCTATGTTGGAGAGAAAGAAAGGAAACTTGAACGACACAAGAAATGTAGTAGAAAAGAAATAGAGACCTATTTTTTCCACCTTCAACACGTGTGACCTACACTCAGTGAAGACACGCGCGTCGTGCTGGTCACTAGCGCTTTCATTGTTTCATCGTCCGATTTGCTTTTCTTGTTCTTCATTCGGACATACAGAGATGACGATAGCTCCGCAGTGCGTGAACACTTATCTCGAATCGAGGCAACTTACACGACTTAGGCGACAAAATTATTAATAATATTAAAGAAAAAAGAATAAAAGGAAAAAAAGAAAAAATCGATGTCTGTAGATCCTAAGGCGATATTATATCGTGTGCGCGAATAAAATGCGACGTATATATGCGATACCACGTGCACGTGATAAAAAACACTAAAATCGTGACAGAACATATCTGCCAAAATGCTAAGAGATACCATGATGTAGATTGTTCCACGATCAATTCAGCTATTATTAAATAATGAGTGATAATCCTTAATCCCTTCAAACCTGATTTTATTAGGACGTTGTAAAAAAAATTATTTTATTCTATTCGTATACATTTTCATAATTAATTCATACTAAACAATAAATTTTTTCAAAATTTTGATTATTTTTCCGGCGTAATAGCATTATTATGTACATCAGATCTCAGATGATATCGATAGAATTGAATAATTTCAACGGACAATGTCTCTTTAAATTTGATATACATTACAATGAATGTAAAATGTGACAAGGTTAATTATTTTATAATTGAGAAAATGAATTGACTACAAATCGGAATTGAACAGGTTTATTTGTAATATCGTACTTTGTCAAAATCCAATTATATTTATATGTATGTACAAACTTTACTCAAGCTTGCATTACGACTCGAATAATTTGATTTGATCAAACTTTGATTCACACATGATTATTTGTAAAACATAAAATTGACAAAATGAATTAATATTTGCTAAGTGCATATTGATTAAGAAATGTTTAAAGTAAATCAGAAACGCACATGGTGATTGACGTTGCAGTTGGGCATTTTTCTTCGAAATTTCTAATGGTACATAACTCGAAGTTCTTGCAAATATTTGCTAGAATTTTTCGTCTATCTGTTACGTGCAAATCACTGCCAACGACAATTATATGGCATGACCGTATGTTCCCATGAGCACGTGCAATCGCATCGATATACCGTTAATATTATATATATTAATGTTTTTAAACGCGAAAGCGATGCGCAGAATGGACCGAGAATATCGTTTTAACGAGATTTTAACAACATGGTTTCTTGCTGCGAACAAAGGCTGGTGTGATTTTTGTGATATTTTGTAAAAAGAAGAAAATAAGCTATATATGGTTATTAAGTGTATACGTCGCGAGAATATGTGTGTAAGAGAGATGGAAAGAAGGTAAATATAATTTACAAATATAAGCATTTATTTTTGTGTCATGCATTTTATGAAGAAAAGAAAAGAATTTAAAAAAGTAACAAAAATATAAATATAAAAGGAGAATCTATTGATAAACGAATTACACGAGGATGCATATATTATATATTGTTAATCATGTAAGAAATAAAGAATTACATCTATAGTGATACACACACACACACACATGCACGCGTGCGCGCACGCACACACACACACACACACACACACACACACACACACATTCACATATGTATGTGTATGTATATATATATATATATATATATTAAAAATATACCGATATATGTATGTACATTGTATATTTGCGTGTACCGCAAGAATCTCAAGTGTCTGTTAAATGTTTGTCCGATAAAACGGAAAAATTCACTGAAGAAACGTGTAAAATTGACTTGATGTATATTAAGTATAAAGATACGAGTTCAGCCTATGTGTGTATACAGTAAGTTAATTAATGAGAGTATAAAAGAAAGGAGGGAAAAGAGAACGTTATGACAATTCGTAGGCACATCTGTCATTAAGTTGAAACAACAATCCACGCTATTGTAACATTATCGAAAGATAACTTTAGACATGCGTGTATATCTAATTGTTTATAATTTAAGAGTAAGTCTATCATCGACGATACTGTTACCCCGTGATTGTTGTGTCGTTCGAAGTGAAGGATATACGCAGCTCATTCTCAGTCAAGACGGTAAACTCTTTTCGAAGTTTACAGAAGGATATTGCGTATTCTCATCACGGGCCTACGGACATCACATCCTGATTAATCACATCCTCGCGTTCATTCGCGATATTCCTATCACCCTCCAAATATGCTTCATTTTATCGTCATAGATTATTATTATATGATCGTACCCAAGCAACCAAAACTTTTTAAAAAATATATATATTTGTATCCTGCTAAAAGCATCTAAAAAGATTTTAAATTTTGTATCGTATAAGGTTTACATAAAGATTACAAATGTACTTGTTGATCAAACGCATTCAATGCCAAATATAGAATATTAATATAAGACATAATGTTTTAAATATTGTTTGAACTAATAATCTTTTATTCATATTTCATATTTAATATGAGAATACAAATGCTACCTAAAAATTTGTTTGAGATAAACAATAAGGCCTTTTCAAGGTTTTCTGTAAGGCAAAATACAAATTTTTTTCTATAAGGCAAAATACAAATTGTTACGTTTTTACCATCATGCATAGTATGAACATAAGTAAAGTTTTGCGTCGCTTGGATAGAATCTGAATGATTGAACGTTTTGCGCAAATTTCGTTTGAAACGAAAGAAAAAGCAAAAACTTACGACATTCCGGTATTACCACCCATGGCAAGTTATGATACAAATTAGATGTAAATGACTATTAAGTTTTTATCCAAACACCGAGTATAAATGTGAATTTTAATATAGAGCTCTATGATTACGTTAGTGCATACGCACGCACACACGCCCGCGCGCGCGCGCGCACATACACTGATACACACATACACACACATACTTGCACGAATATACTGTCTATATTGTATAAGTTTAATGTAATAGTCATAAATTTTTTATGTATATAAATGTACCACATAAACTAATTTTAAATAAAAAATATAGTCATTTTGTGTTAAACTCACTCTTCGATATATGACATCCTGGATGATTGCGTTTCAATCCGTGAGTTTCATACTGTTATGTTCGAGTTAAAATTAAATATAGAACATAATGTATGTACGTTTTAATTTCTCTTGCATTGTTATTATGAAAATGATTAGGTTTATATATAGGATGAAGCTTTAAATTTGTAATGCAAGGCTCGGTGTTCTAAGATACAACCGGGAATTGAATCCGGATCTCTCGCATGGAATAAATTATTTACATGTATTTGATTTCACCGACAGCTGCAAATTGGCTCTAGCTTTTTATATATATATTTTTTTTTTACAGCGCGTGTATTCAGCGTCATATAAATTCACGCCGAATTATTTAAGCACTAAAGATCTAGCTTCGACCGTTATGGACTTTATTTCATATTGGTCGATTTTTTTACCTCCCATTTTGTGACAATTTCATAAATTTTATTTAATTGAAAATTTGGCAATAACTTGAATAGATTTATAGCAATAAAGCACGTAAAATGAAATGATAAATTATCTACAGTTTCTGCTATCACGATAAAATATTTGTTCGACATTTTTAATAGTCGAAGACTGATATATTATCTCAACTATATGTTACATTCACAGGTGATTACATTAACCGCGTTCAGCAGCACGTTTATTTTTCAACTGTTTTTTCACGCTGATTGGATTAGGTATACTTTTAGACTTAGAGGAATATCCTTTTTCAGTAAAGAAAAATTTCAATAGTTGCAAAATAAACTTTTTGTTAAATGAGGCCATTGTCCAATATATGAAGCTAAAACAAAAAAAATAGCATTTAAAAGTGAAATTTATAAACGATTTATTCAAATATAAATTTATAATTTTAATTGTTTTAAGATATATACCGTACTAATAAGAATAAAAGAACGCTTAGTAATTAAAATGACTGAGAGATAAGTAACATAAAGGGTCACAAAAAGCATATAAATTGTATGTTAACTTTGTTATACAAATTACATTTTATGTCAAATTTTTTTATTGATCTATTAGAATAACTTAATGAGTTTTTAATTATTATAGTGTTCTAATAACATTTGTCATAAGGTGCGTTCGAGGAGACATTATAAAAATATATACTAATCATAGAAAATAAATTATTATAATACTAGGTCGGTCTTATCTATTCTTATAAAAGAAATTACGAAATTACAATATTAAAATAATTCTTATCATTAATCATCATTACGGATTTTCGTCATCAGATATATCAGATACTTCGAGTAAGTTAGGAGATAAATATTTCTCGTGTTCTTTATCGAAAGTTTTATCAGGAGTAAGCTTCATCATATCTGGCAAGAGCAAAGTTTCTGAATCTAGAAAAAACAAATAGTTGATAAGAGTAAACTTATAAATATTACATATAAACTTATAAATATTATATAACTCTAACCTTCATACCTGATAGTACGTTGTCTTCACAAGGTTTTATGTTCTCTTTCCCCTTGGAGAATAGATCTTTAAATTCTTTTTCAACAGCCTCAATGTATCCATAATCTATAATATAAAATTAATTTATTAGAGAATTTCATTATAAAATATTAATAGCATATTAGTTTTAAGTTATAAATTGTCTTTCTACATCAAATAATAATAACTATTCACATACCAAAATCATGTTGATTGTCATACCAATGCGCCAATTTTTCCGGTTTTGGAAACCTTTTGATATTCTTCTTAGGCAGTAAAGGCTTCTTAAAAACACTATCGTTTAATTGTTTTTTTGTATATTTATTAATTGTACTATCCTTCTTCAGAGCACACTCTTTAATCTTTGATAACTGTACAATCTCTTTCTATAAAAAAAGATACTTTCAATAATTTCTAATGAATAAAAACTAAATATCTTTAATTTCCTAAAGATTTTTTAAGATTTAAAAGAAAATTCTATCACATGAATATATATAATATATATTATATATTCAATATATATCAAAAATATGCTGAAAATACATTAGCAAATATGAGTTTTAACTACCTTTGCTGATACTTCCTTTCCTGGAGATATTGGACATCCATGACTATCCATTTGTGTTGCTTTCAACTTTGAACAATCCTGTTCTTTATCATAAATACTTTTCTTGGCTGACTGTATTTTAGATATATTCATATCAGAATTAGATCTTATTGATAGTCCCTTCGGTTTTGCACCTCCCATTGTCTTAAAAGATCTAATCTCGTGAGATGTTCTAGATCGTGCAATGGGCTTTATTTGACCTGTAGACAGGTTAACACATTACATACATTTTCCAGCATTTCTTTTCCAACTCAGTAGTAGTTCTCTATCCATATTTTTTATGTATTAGTAAAACATGTTTCTTATTAAAACCAAGATAATTTCTTGATTTAGAGTGCACAATCCTCTATAAATCCTCTTTACATACTAATCATCTTTTATAAGCCGAAAATTTTTAATCCAATTCATTTAAAATTTATATCAAAAACAGAAATGTACTAGACATACAATACACACATATTTTGCGATGTAAAAAAAATATAATTGTGGAAACACATTTCGCTCACCTTCATTAGGTTCAGCAAGCCCGCCCAATAAATTAAATATGTTGGACATTTTGATTATGTCAATACCGTCAATACTATGAATATCTACAGCAGTTTCGCGTGATTTTCACTTGCAGCTATTTCGTAGATCTGCGAAATTTTTCTTCTTAAGATACCTATTTGGATTTTCAAGTCACTACGAAAGATTATAGTACCTGCGACGAAGAAGGATCGAAGGAGCCAACGATAACCTCCTCGGAGAGCAGAGACTTCGGTTGTTCACAATTCTTACAGACTGGATTGTTCTACCTTTCGACAAACTTCAGCTCACTGACTTACTCTCTTACTCTCTTTATGTTCTTATTCTTTCATTCTTTTATTTATCCAATTAGGTAAATTATCACTTTATATTTATCTGAAGATTAGAACAACCAGCCCATAACGACCAGTAACTGAGTAACGTTACGTTGCGTTACGTCATTGACGTACCAATTCAAAATAATACCAGCCGTTATGATGATATATCTATCTCACTTCAAAGCCGGTGGCACACGATGCTTGTTTTCTTGCTGGATTGCTAGCTAGTGTAGACATACGTATGTTCTAAGTAGTTAGATTAGATTCTTTCCACTGTATTGTCTGCGAGGCTGGCACTGTCAGCACCGCAGCCAATACGGTGACAAGATTCTAATGGTTCTAATCCAGCAGGAAAACAAGCATCGTGTGCCACCGACTTAAGTTCCAAAAGTGTACATACATACACTAGTTCAATAGCGGAAAACAGACCTTAAGAAAATCTATAGTTTACGTTACGTGCATTATAGATTTTCAGTACTGGCACGTCATATCGAATATTAAGTTGATTTTTATTAAAAAATTTTTTTTTATTTTCGGTATTTTTTTCGTCTGGTATTTGTTATAGCCAAATTCATACCAATCAAAAATTTCTTTGGTTTTTTGTTTCAAATAAGCAAAACAGCTGGAATCGTGAGAATCATTTACCTACTTTTGTTTTTCATGACCTTACTTAATATATATATATATTTACAGAGTATATTTATATAGTTATTTTTTAATAAAAACATTCTTCAAATATGTATAAATATGTAGGAAAAACCCCTATTCTAAAACTTTATGCTATATTTTTAAAAAAATTCGCAAAAATAGTATAAAAATTCGGCTTCAATAGTAGAATAACAATCAGGTGAAAGGATTGTTTTATAGAAACGATCTTTAATATGTTTCATGTAAAACAATATATAACTTTATTAATAATATACCTTATTAAAAGAGACAATGTGTGCACCGTCAGTAGCAAATATTTCATATACACAAATCATTTTTTGAGATGTATAATATATATTTGTATATGTATATAACGACCTCATAACACAAAAGCATCGTTCAAAGGCCATTACAACAGAAAGCTACCAACTGCTTACAGTGGAATGCTTTAAAACAGATCTGTCCAATCATTGGAGTTGAGCTTTACATGCTATTGGGCAGATCTGTTTGAGGAGAAATCTGCATGATAAAATCATTCATGTGTATATATACAATTATTTACTACATACACATAGACGAAAGAATACATTTTGGTAAAAATCACATAGACATCTTCGTTAATACACATTAACGGAAACGTTATGTTGGAAGCATAATAAAAAATTCAATATAAATAATTTTCTCTTTCTCGATTCATAAGTTTAATAGATATTTTGTTTTTTGGGACAGCATTTATTTTGTACATTCGAGCATTTTCCCTTCGTCTATGTGTAGCGCAATTAAGTTAACCGTTTGTATAAATGCTAAATGTTATAAATAAATCTTTGAGCTTCTTCTGCAAAATGAAAATGGTTTTTCAGCTACTGTCTAAATTTTGCCATGTTCCGTCTCCCGCAATCTGTAATCTTCTTTATAATTTACATTAAAACGGTTTGTCAGTCTCCTTCGAATATCAACGAATTGTAAATGGTTTGTCGTAATAATATCAACAGTAGCATCTTCTCTTTCTTCATCTTCAAGCCATTCTGATACTCTGGATGATTTGAAACACGGCTGTAACAAATGTCGTTTCTTAATTAAAATATGCTTTACATGGAACTATAAAGACATATAAATCTTAAAGTATAAATGAAAAAAGGACAAGTTTATAAATTTATATATACATTTTGAACAAGTTGCATGTAAAGTTATTGACAACTTTCCATCCTTAGCACTTGTAGCTTCTTCATGTATCTAACGTTGTCACATTTCCTTAGCTATGCATGTGTATAATAAAAATATTCCATTACTGATCAGTATTTATAGTCAGTTCTTATTTCAAGCCATCAGTAACATCAAAATGCTAATATGATTCTGCAATATCATTTTAAGAGACTGTACTTAATAAATCTTAAGTATAAGAATTGATTATGAGTACCAACCATAGTCTTCTAAGTCTTCTTATTTCAAGATCGTCTTAAGTAATGTCTTAGATGCTAATAAGGCCAGGTTTATGACATCTCAAGACAACCTTAAATATAAGAATTAACTACAAATACCAGCCTTAATATACTTTTAGTTTTATTACCAGCCTTAGTATCCATATTTTTAGTTACAATAAAGCAACTTAAGAAAAAAATACTAAGAATAGAGTTTATTTGTTCCCTGATGTCAACAGGTTTGTTTTTTTTATATTCAAAAACTAATATATAATTTGTATATTTAAAGTGAAATAGGTATGTTTGATATTTGGCAAATGCGAGGAGGAAAGTTCTAGTGCAGCAGTAAAACACAAACCTAAGGACAAGAGAGGAAATAGAAAAGTTTTATTTCAAATTATTGTATCTAGATTATCACGAGTACTTACCAGATCCACAAACAACAAATAGAAACAGAGCTAAGAGCCAAGGTCCAACTGGAGATCCCTCCTCTTGCGATTTCTAACGTAACAAAAGTTTCTGTTTAGTTATACAGATGTCGATGTCAGATTACAAATAAAATACACGAAATTTAAGTATCAAAATTCAAGTACGTCAATCATATATGTGGAGTAAACAAATGGGACATATGACTTGGATGATAAATGTAACAGATATTTTTCAGCATTTAGTAAACATCGCGACAAAGATGTTATCAATGTTAATGTTTCATACATCTTAACATAAGAGTTTCACCAAAAGTTTCACATTTTAGTTTCACATATGGCAGATACTGTCTGTTGACAGATGCAAGATTCTTTTGCCACGAGGTAAACCATTCGTCGTGAAACGTTAAATAACCGATGGAACAGGCGATTTCAGTGATTTGCGAACGAAAGAACGAACATCCAACATAATTTGACAGTGATCTGTCAGAAATAAACATCTATAACCTCGGATTGACAGTTGCATAGGATATCTTCACGATCGGGTAAATTAAATCGTCGCGATTTGTCTCATACACGGTACATCAATCTTCAACCCTGGTCCATATGTCATTTTCTCAAACGTCGTCCAAATGCGCTTCCTAGGTACAAATTTTCTCTCAGAAAATCCGGACTCGAGGAGGCAGAAAATCCGCGCGACTTCACCGGCCGAGTCTCGAGAACCGCGAGACCACGTTTCAGAAGCTCGGAGGAATCGTAACCGGGCGATTCGACGAAGGGAACTCACCGACGACTTGGGGACGTTTCCACGTAGCGTGATGTTTTTCGTCGCTTTCTCATTCGCGATGCGCATCCGCTGCTTCGGCGCCATCGTTCTCGCACGTCCAGTCCCCTCGACAAGAGTGTGATAGAAGCAGGCAGAAGAAATACGAGACGAGTTGAGAGCTCACGACAACACAACACTTGTATGCGTACTTATCTACGGAAGCGTATCTCGACGTGTCCAGCGGCGCTCAGTGACGTTCTGCAACCGTTGCGACGTTCGCCGACGTGTACGCCGTCGCCAATGTCGCCACATGACACGTGAAGTCGTGAAGTTGCGCGACAACTCGCCGTGTGCCTGTTGGCGCTCTCTTGTGCCACACTGTCACCACCGTGGTCAACTGAGAGAGTCCCTCGCAGTCCTCGCACTTCAAATATTGAGGCCGGTATTCGTAGTCAGATCGGATCTTATATTCAAGACCGTCTTAAGTACAGTCTTAAGAAGTCACGAATCAATCGGAAGATCGTATTAGCATCTTAAAACATTACTTAAGATAGTCTTGCAATAAGAACGGACAATGAATATCGCCCTGAATGCTCCAATTGTTCTGTGACGTTGTCAATCGCAATATTTTATTCATTCGCGTGACTACACAAATAATGTAAAAAAATAGCAAATGTGAAAGAAAAAAAAAGAAATATTAAAAGGTAATTGTAAAAGAAAAGAAGCGAATACTTGTTGTATACGTAGAAATTTTATATTTTTTCCAGAATCACTACATCTAACAACAAATTGTTTTATTTTCGACTCCCACCAACATTAGTTTCTTGGTAAAATCATTGAAACGTAATACTCTCATCGTTACATCCTTTATTCGAATACCTATCATTAATTATGTTTGAGAAATTAACTTCTCGTTTTTCTCTCGATCAATTTATGTGATGCGGGCGATTGTCCACCCGCGGAAGAGAATCGTGAACATGGACTCATTCGTGAATCCTAAAAAAGTGCTAATTTAAAATGTAAAAAAAAAAAAAGATAATGCGGATGAGATCATGATCTATGCGGTTGTTGTGTCGCAGATCTTCATCGACACTGTACGTCACGATTCCTGTTTCTTACTCCGAATTATTTAGCTTAATGAGCTTAAAAGCTTTCCGTTGATAACGAAATGTGAAATCGATAAATTGACTCGACGATCAGAAAACAACCTAAGTTGCAGTCGTATTCATATTAGATTCTTATATTTGAAATCGTCTTAAATACAGTCTTAAGATGTCAAAGCAATTACAGTTATATAGGGTGATATTCATAGTTGGTTCTCATTTTAAGACCGTCTTAAGTAATGTCTTAATATGCTAATATGGCTCTCTATTGGTTCATGACATCTTAAGACTGTACTTAAAATGGTCCTAAATATAAGATCTGATTATAAATACCGCCCACACACACACAGAGCTGTATTAGTATTTTGAGACATTAATTTTGAAATAAGAACACTATGGCTGATATTATAATGAATTCTCATATTTAAGTACACAATCAATAAGAAATAGAATCCATAACGGTCGAAACTATACCTTAGATACTTAAGTAATTTGGTGTGGATTTATATACTACGTATCAAATTTTGTCAAACTACGCGCCGAATTGATTTTTCAGTCTCTAAACGTTGTATCGACAGAATTACCGTAATACTATCACAAATTAAATTGCTTAGCAATTTAATAATTTGATGCTCATAGACATCTTAGAAAGATCACAATAATGCTGATAAACATATTAAAATCTGTAAACAATTTATTGCGAAAAATATATGATTAGTTTATGACATCTCAAGACTGTATTTAAGAC